CACCAAAAACTTAGGTCAGTTAAGATATTTCTTGGAAATAGGCGCAGCAGGAAACAAGAAATATTTTTTTATCTCAGAGGAAGTATGTATTTGACCTACTTGCAGAAACTGAAAAGTTAGGAGCTAAACCGTGTAACACTACAATGGTGCCAAATTTACACCCTAGTAAAGATGATGGTGACCCTCTCGATAATCCGCAAAGGTACAGACAATTAGTTGGGAAACTGATTGCATATCATGTTAGTGTTGTTAGTCAATTTATGTCTGCACCTACAGTCAAACATTGGGAGGTTTTGAAACAGATTTTGTGTTACCTAAAAGGTGCTCCAGGACTTGGTATACTGTTTAACAATCATAGGCACACTCACATTAAATGCTTTGCAGATGCTAATTGGGTTGAATCTAAAATTGATAGAAGATCCACGACAGTTTATTGTGTTTTTGTTGCTGGGAATTTGGTATCATGGAAGAGTAAGAATCAGATCGTTGTGTCTCGATCCAGTGTAGAGTCCAAATACAGAGCTATAACTGTGTCCACATGTGAAGTCTTATGGCTTAGTGGAAGTAGGTTTGAATCCCATATTACTTGCAAAACTCTAGTGTGATAATCAAGTTGTTCTTCATATTGCCTCAAATTCGGTGTACCATGAAAGAACTAAACATATTTAGGTTGATTGTCACTTCATTCATGAGAAGATTCAGGAGAACTTGATTTCTGCCGGTTATGTAAAAACAGGAGAACAACTAGATGATATATTCATAAAAGCTTTAAATGAAACCAGAATTTAATATCTTCGTAACAAGCTGCACATGATCAATATCTATGCTTCAGCTTTAGGGAGAGTATTAAAATATTACAAAATATATTATGAAATATTTTTATGTAATTATTAGTTAATTTCTTATCATTAATATAGGGATTTATGTTTCCATATATAAATCTTTCTTCTATGTATATATACCCCTAATTCTATGTAATAAAAGTATGTAAATATTCAAAATTCCTTTCCCTAAATCTTATACTTCTTAAACGTCGCTCTAGTGTTGAGAATAAGGTAGCAGATACTCTTACCAAAGAGTCTATTATTCTCGAAAGCATTAGTACACAAGTAATTGGTTTCAAGAGATTGTAAGATCAATAATTTACTTCTCTAAATTTTGGTTCAATTTATCAGGAATTAGAGAGGATAATTGTCAGAACTACATAGATATTGTCATTTATGATGATTATCTCTTTAGAACTACCCTTAGAGACTTTTAGAATGGGAAATGCATGTTTGA